TCAAAGGTAAACAGCTCCATGCGCTCCTTGCTCGAACCTGACACGCGTAACAACTAGCGTGTGGATCTCGCCAACACGTGCCACCATGGCGAGAGCCAGGAGGAAGATCGTCTTCTTAGGTTGTATTACAACGCCGAATGAAGTGGTTCAAATGGGGCGCCTCTCAGGAGGGTGAGAACTATGTTAAGATCCCAAGCTGGGAGTCTAAACTTAGCCTTCTGGCCTTACAGTCAGAGGAAGCAAAGTAAACTCGGAGTTCAAAGATCTTGGTCATTTTCCGGAACTGCCAAGACCGAGTTGAGGGCAACAATTTATGTTGCAATAGTGCTTTCCTTCAGGCGATGCTTGCAATGCAGGAAGAGAAAAAAGAAATTGAGGAGACGCAGAGGTGGGGTGTCTCTCTTTGCAAAAACTCTCAAAGGATCGCCACTTATCGGAATACAGAATTCTGGTAGACGGTCTTGCCGCCCTAGCTGCATAACCCTTGGCACTTAAGGCCCGTTGAAGATGGATCAGACGTGTAGATGTAACCTATCTTGTGCCGGGTGTGGATGTTTGCTGTGTGGATGAAACAGTAGATTCGGCCAGTCTGAGAGTGGGAGAGGGTCGGCAGCGGCGATCTCTCTGAGATCAATGAATCAACCCCCGCTGGCCACCAGTGTGCAACCAAAGTCGACCTGATCTGTGTCAACCTGATCTTCTGAATGACTCTGGGAAGGAGTACTGGAGGTGGAAAAAAGTAAGTTTTTTTAGTCCTTCCAAATTCCAAATGTTAGCACCGCCCACTGATAGTGGACTCCCATGAAGATGAAGCGGAGGAATTTTCTGTCGTAGGGATGGATCGGGACATGGAGGTACGAATTCTGATTGTCCAGGCTGATGAGTGAGTCATGAGCCTATATCCTGGACCGGAGGAGCCTGAGCATGGTCACTCAGAAGTAAAGTGGATGAGCTTGGTGAAAGTAGCGAGATTGTGGATTATTCGGAATTGGTCGGAGTCCTTGTTGGGGACAAGCAATATTGGCAAATGGAAGGCTAGTGTTATGGCTGGGGAGTGTACAATCTCTATGGTCTCCTTGGCCAGCTGCATTTTGATGTTTCAGTGCAGGAGTTGCTGTTGAGAAGGGGAGCAGGTGTCAGCTATGGGTGATGACGTTAGATGCAGGTCATCTCTCAGAATGAGTTTGTACCCGAGGCGCAAGATGCTGACGACGTATGGGTCCCAAAGAATTTCCCAGTCCCGACAGAATCGTCCTAGTCTCCCACCTACTGGGGTCTCGACAACTGGAATGACTGGGGGAGGGAGGTCCCAGTCTTCATGTCTGTCGCTTCACTTCACTCCCTGCCTTGGCTGTTAGGATCAGGAAAACTTTTCTTTCTCACGATTCTTTCCACGAAAGGAGGAAGAGGTGTCCTGTGCATGACTGAAGTGAGTTCCGCCACAGGTGAAAGTTGCCCAACCTTGATGGCTTGAAAGAGGCGGAGTGTGAGACATGAGCCAGGGCCTTCAGAGCGGTCTCGTCCCTGGCGAAGACTGATACCCTGGCATGGGTCTTGAAGACGTGTCCATTAAAGAGAGAGGTGGACAACCAAGGTTGACTGAGTAGGTGCCTCTTGAACTCCAGATCTCAGTCGGGAACGTGGATAGTGGTAGAGCGATTCGAGCCCCTCAGCGGTGGATATTCTCATCCAGTGTATGTGCGTGATCAGTAATGTCAAAGGAATGGAGGGGGAAGTCTTCCTTCTTGTACTTAGGCGCCGTGAACGAGGGTGTGAGGGACAACTTGGCAAAATCCTCATCGAGGGCAGCAATCATGTCCTTAATCATGGGATCAGGCGGGACAGAGGAAGGGTCAGACCATGTAGTGTCCTTCTTGTCCACGTCTGAACCCAGGGAACGAGCCACAGCCTCTAGCAGGGCCGCAATCCAGTCCACTACCTGGTTGAGACCAAGCTAGGAATCAATGTCAGATATTGATCCCTTGTAGGATGGTATGAAGGACCCTTCAGAGGACTTGGACTGGTATCCCCTCGAGTGATGAATCTTGAGAGCAGCTCTAAGAACAGTACCTAGACCTGGAAGACATGTGCCTTGAGGAAGAGCCAGGCGAAGCTGAGTCACGAGACAGTGAACCTGGCTGTTAGAGAGCCGCATGCATGAAGCCTAGGCGCTTGTAGAGACGCTACAGTAGCCGGTGGCATGGAGACCATGTCCGAAGCTGAAGGTGCCAAGTACTGAGGCATTTAAGAAGTGGAGCCATGGTGAATCCATGCTGTGCATCTGATAAGGCTGAGGTGGTGTCTGTTGGTAGCCCGAAGGAGCTCATAGCATTGACTGCACAGGCGCCATGGAGAGCTGGTACGTCTGTTGTAGAGGCATAGATTTATCCACAGGCGCGCGCCGGGCATCATTGTCACGGTCATAGTCGTGTAGATGGAGGTCATGGTGGTGAGCATCCGCGCCTGGGTAGAGACAACAGAGGTGGTAGGAGCTGAGTTGCTGATGACACTTGGGTGTTGGCAGGTGTCATGACCGGGATGACGGGCAATATTTTGGCTGAGAAACGTGTAACATTTTTTTCTTGGCACAGAGTTTATGGGCCTGCTGGGACTTTCACTTCTGAGATACACTCAGGTATTTGCCGAAATCTGAGGGGGGGAAGCTTGAAACAGTCCTAACATTTGGCTGTCTGAGAGCACAGGGACGTGTAATTTAGGCACAAGGGACGGGGATCCCACCCTGATTTATTACAACAACACTTGCTACAAGAGGGCATGTATCTGCAATGATTGCAGATTGTAATCACAATGCATTCCCTCCTGATTATGTATGCCATAATCTTTTTTCCCAGCCATGTGGGTTTGAGAAAAACAATTTACGCAAACAACACAAAACACCACCACTTTAATAAACAATATTATTGCAAGAATACGTCAGTAATGAAGTACCAAGCAATACAAAAGAATACAGAATACAACATTCAAGATGGCTACTTGAAACAACACAACACCTGAGATTACTGTCATGAAAACCACCACCAGGCGTTAAATAATTATGCTATGGCGTAAATCATATGAAATATATAAAAACACAAAACGTAGGCGCAATATAATTCACAAGAAATATCACTAGAGTATTTCAAGAGAGTTCAACACATAGGTCTTCCTTCTGTGGGTGACAGCAGTAATGTGCGGATCCATGACATCATCACTTCCATGGTCACATGGGAGCTGTGTGATAGGGTTGTCCTCTCAGCTAGTTGAAACAACTTCTTCAGCAAGACCTCACACAGCTCTTCCTTTCTGTCAAGAACAAGCAGTAGATGCACTAAGAAGTAATTTAGAATAAGTCATACAATATGATAAATTAGGGGGATGGGGTGTCTGTTCTTTGTTTGAAACTTTTGAAGTGAATACCTCCACCTTGATTCCAATGACAGTTTTGTTCAGCAGGGCCTCCTGTTGGTTGTGCTGCAGAGTATGATGGTTGCAGATGCTCCAGTATCACTACAGTTGTAATGGGGAGCACTTAAAATATGTGTAAGGGCCAACCGACATGAACCATCACAGTGCAGCTCACTGTGAGCAATACAAGATTTATTTTGAATTAGCAATTATAGTTTGAAATTTATTCATCTAAATTGTATTCTTAGAAAATATAGAGCTTAACTCATTGATAAAGCCCTATGGATGTGGTTGGATTACCTAGGCCTGCATACAGTATGTTCTTGATACAATCAGCATGATGACTACAAGTATTGTAAATGTCCCAGACACAAAGCCTACAAACAATGAGATTCCCCCAAGTACCAACATGTCCACTTGAGTTTCATGTCACCACAGCTGCCTGGGAAGTGGAGCTGAAAATCTCCCCTGCAGAGTCAGGTCTCATGGCGCTGGCAAGTCAACAAGTGGCCACGGACACATATTGCTTCCGGTCCTGTGTCAGGTGTACCCTACACCTGAGACGCGCGTGAGGGGGCAGTCTGGCTAGCTGTGTGTGAAGTCAACCACAATCTGATAGTTTCACACACTCGGTGTGAAGCCCTCCACCTGTATGTCCACACGGCAGTGAAGACAGGACACTACAGCCGCTGGTCACATTTGTGTGTTCACTCACGCTGACAACACACAGTCACAGTGGACCTGGTCTATCTCATTACCATGATTGCAACTGATTACAGGTTATGTGTCAATTTGTCTTGCGCTGGTCAGGTCTAAGCAGACAGATAACTCAGCTGACATAGTGTGCATCAAGGACCACTATCCCACACTCCCACAGGCAGGCTTCCCACCAAAGAAGCTCATGTCAAAGTGATACCAGGCCCTATTTGTGCCCTAGAATGACACATCACACTTCCCAAAGAAAAAGGCACAAGCTAATAATACCATGTTGCTTTCTTAACATGCTCAGTAGAGCTTGTCCAAAGTGCTACCGTATTCGATGTAATAAGGGCCCAGGGCGCTCTAAAAATTAGAAATAGGGGGCTCTTATTTGAATATTATTTTGGTGGAAAAAAAATCAGAGTTGAAAGATAAATTTTGTGGTTTATACTGACAACCTGAAATGTTTATATATGACATATATTTTTCCAGAATTTCATTGCCCATAATTAAGGGTGCATTTAACACGTACACGAGTGTGTATTATATGCTAATAGATAAGTCTTGTGTACATTGATCAATCGGAAGGGGTGCTAATTGGGATTGTTCACTAGCCAATAAATGAGCAATTATCCCGCTTATTAGAGCGGGGCGCTTACTGCGTCAAATACGGTATTACAGGACCAACTAATAATGAATAGCTGACAGGGAAGAGGACTTCTGTTGAAATTTGGAAAGTTTAGTTTTAATGTGATTGCAGCCAAAATATAGGATTTATGGCAATAATGTAATAGAGATAGGGGATTCAAAAGAATTATGAATTTTTGTAATCTGCTCTACCATACTAAAGCTGCTGTGGAGATGATGGAATGTGCACCCTCAATTGTTCTCCTCACCCGTATTTTGTTCTCCAGATTCAGCCTCTTGGCCAGACTGTCAGCCTTCTCTGCCCGCACGATCTCCATCTCTGTTGACAGCTCTGTAATCCGCCTCTGGAACTCTGCAACAGGAACAACAACACTATAGCTTGTCACTCTCACTGTGCAGGCTACAACTGATACAATAATACATCAACTGAAACTGTCAATGTGCAGGAATTTGTTGAACAATTGACTTAGAATCTGTGCCTTTAAAAATGAGTTCATTATTTTCAAAAATTGCTATTCAAATTAAACTAACATTTGCGGGCAATGTTCTGGAATTAAATTTGATTTCCCTATAGATGGTATTTAGGCTCCACAGATATATCTGGATTTGACTGGAATTACCTTTATGTGACATATTCATTAAGATAAATGGGCATTATTTCAACTCACCACCATAAAACCCCTTTAAAAGTGACTTGCCTTGCCATGGAAAATGGCAATGACAATAATTACAGCCGGCACAGGATGCAGCATCAACCTTGCCGGAATTGTCATGTGATGGTGCATGTACCAAGAATCAAGCAATTTCTAATAACCTCTAATAACCCCCCAAACCAAGGTTCTAATCAAAATGAGAATTATGGTATTATAGCAAAAATAGTTTATGAAAACTTGTTTCTAGCAATTTCCACTTTAAACAAGAAAGCTGTTTGGATTATGTGCAAAAACAGAGAGAGAGACACATTCCTACCTTCTCCTAAATGCTCCAAACCATTTGCTCCCAAAACTATTTGGACTTCCACCAAATCAGGGGACTGCTGACATTACCAATGTCTTTTCATATGCTAATATGTTTACTAAGATTGTCTAATGCAGTACAACTTAGTCCTCTTATCAAGATTCCATTAACAACACAGTTAAAAGCACTTCTGGTTTAATAAAATCACACTGGCCCACAGAGATACTTTTCAAAATTCTAATCATAAATACTCAAGATAATGTATACCGATACACAAGCTGCACTGCACATCTACTTCACACTGCCCTTGACCTTCAATCTTTGCCAATCACATGCAAAATCATCAGTGTTACAAATATGTAGTTGCCATACCAAACTGACAATATCTTCTGAATTAACTTTCTACAAGTCATTTCATGAGTGAATGTTGGCATTTGACACAACAGTAACAGTGTAGTTATTCATAGTTCTTCTTAACCAACTGGAAATGCTTTGATGTTTCATGAATCAAACTAAAATTTCCTGAAATTCGAGCCTTTGTTCATGTGACCTTTAGTGACCATGACCTTATGTGGAGATCACCGAAAAGATTTGTGACTTTTTAAGCGTAATCATAAGTTTCATCAAACTCCAATCATAACAATTCAAGTTAAATCCCTTTCTGAAATAGAATAAACACCTTATAGGGTGAAATAGGGTAAAAAAAACTTTCTGGCCCTTCCTCAACCAAGATTGATGGCTGTTCAAAAGGAAACAAAGGCAGTGGTTGGTCGACTAAGATGACTGTGCCCAGTGTCACCAGTAGCTTGTATGTATATGTACAACAGTGTGTACCCAGAAAAAGCTAAAATATAGAACGATAGTTATCATTGTTAATAATTCTAAGAATACTACCTCTATTACATCTTTGCCATAAATCTTATCGTTTGGCCTCAGTCACACAAACTAAAATTTTCAGATTTTCAACAGACGTCCTCTTCACTGTCAATTTCACAACTAGTTGTTCCCAAATAGTATTGAAACCAATCAAGCTATGACGTATGCAATGGCAGGAACCTTCACTTCCTTACGAAAACTTCTACCTCTATTACATCTTTGCCAGAATATACCAGAGGGACCCTGTGGGATCTGCCTCTAGTAAATCCCAGTGTAATTGACAGTAATCCTCTTCTGGAAACCATTATTCTCTGATTCTAATCCTAAATCAAGAAAATTTTTCTCTGAAATACCTCCTAATGACTTGAAAATCAGAAAGTCTCAAGAATCAGTCAAATATGTGATATCTTCACTAGAATTACTGTTATATTTGTTGATCTTGTTGGTAATAATGAGTTATTTCTGGTCTATTTCCACCCAATGACGTCATTTCTTGTTAAATTTGGATTTGTGACACTAATACCGGTTTTGACGTCACTTCTGGTTTTGACATGACTTCCGGTTTTGCATCCTTTATTGAAAAATGACGTCTCTCAAGGTCTAAAAAAGACGTCATTTCCTGCATAGTTAACCTTGCACTGCTATTGCCAGTGCTGACGTCACTTCCGGTCACTGGAGGCAGTAATAATACTCCATGATCTTGCCACAGCTTCCGAGGCAAGCTCAGAGTATCCGGATGTTTACATCTTGTGCGGGATAACTTCTAGGCGGTTAGATGTAGGGTGGGCAGATTGTCGTGGAAAATGCTGGAGTTGGGTTGTCATAAGAGATCTTGACGAAGAGGTAACTGGTTAGGTTCTTCCATTAGTAGCCTTAGAATTCTGGGGAACCACACCTTGCTGGGCCAGATTGGTGCTATCAGGATTATCAAGCAATCTGTCTCCTCGACCTTGTGTATGACCTTGTCTATGACCTTGTCTAGGAGAGACCATGGTGGGAATGCGAATGCAAATAGACTCGTCCAATCCAACGATAGCGCATTGATCTGGTGAGCTCTTGGGTTGGGGACTGGACTGACATAAACCGGAAGTTGATAGTTCTGGCAGGTTGCAAACAGATATAGGTGAGGTGTGTTCCATAACTTGGTTATCCAAGCAAAGGTCTGGGGATATAAGGTCCATTCTGTTGCCATTATTCTCCCCATTATTCGGTAAGGACGTTCAATTTCCCGTGTATATGTCTCGCTTCCATCCAGCAATTAATGGAGTCTGCCAAGGTCTTCATCATCAGGGAGCTGGATCTGGTTCCTCCTTGTTTCTGGATATACGCCACTACTGTGATGTTTGTCCTTGGCTATAAGGATGGATGATTGAGATAGACGTATCTTTCATGCTAGGATGGCATAATAGATGGCCTTCATTTCCTTGCAATTCATATGAAAGATCTTTTCTCTGGTGTTCCAAAATCCCTGTACAGTGAGATCGTCCATATGGGCTCCCTATCCCGAATCTGACGTATCTGTGAATAGATGGTGTTCGGGCATGAGGGATGCCATTCATCACATGTTCTCTGTGGGTCCACCAATGCAGGTCTTGTACTAAGTTGGAAGACCCGGAATTCTAGGGTCTGTGATCGTAGTGAATTGTTCCATGACTGTAGAGGATGTAGCATCAGCCTTCCTCTGAAGGTCATATCCTGTAGAGACATTAAGTTACCTAGAAGAGACATCCACCACCTCAGAGACCTGCTGGGTTGACTTGATAGTGATTGAATCATCGTGATAGTCTTGACGAATCGATCCTCTGGTAGGCATAGATATCCTTTGTTTAGTTGGAATCTTGCTCCAATGTATATGATGTCTTGAACCGGAGCAATCTCATAAGTTGGTATTATGGAAAGACGGTAGGCGTAAATCACAATCCAGGTCAAAAGGGTATAGGCCTCAAGATCTTCCATGTTGGTAGAAACCTCGTTTCTTGCAGTCTGGCTGACAAAAAGATTCCTGAGAAGATTGGCTTTTGTCATCCCCTGACTTGGTTGGAATGAATCCTTCCCGGAGGGGACAAACATCTTCTTAGGAGGCTGTTTGTAAGATGAATCTTTTTGGTCCCAGTGACGCTTTGGGAATTGGGAAGATCCATGAGCCTTGGCAGCCAGGCTGATAGTTGATGCTTGGAATCGTTCTGTTGTATCTTGCCTGACTTCATCTATTACATGTCGCAGTTTCCCGTTGAATATCGTGGGAGCTGATACGTGTTGTGACATTATCAACCTCTTGGTAAGGATGGCTTTAGAATGAATCTGGGCTAAGAGTTGTTGACGCTGCAGCCATAATAGCTGTGAAGACATCCACACTTGGCTGGAGAGTAAGTCTTCCTGCAATCTTACAATAGTATCTAGTAGGCTGTGAATGAGTCCGACTTGATCAGTCCTGATAGTCATAGGCGTGTCTCCTGTTATGCCTTCATATGATGTCTGTAATGGTGGAATGATGTGTCTGATTCCAGAGACAAACCAGTTGATATAAGCTCCAATAATTCCTCGATGAGTTCTACAAATGTATATCCGTCCGTAAAATCCCACAGGGGTGAGTCGTCAGCCTGATTGGTATCCGTTTTCACCTCCCAGTGACCATGGGAAGCTCCCGATGAGGTTGGATAATCAGTGTAATCATCCTCATCCTCTGCCGGTGTCCAGGATTCGGGTATGATCAAAGTCTGTGCGGCTTGAGCTGGCTGCCCGTGAGTAACGGGTCCCGTATGGTGATCCTACTCTCTGTTGGTATAACATTCAGCTGGATGGTCTCGTGCGGTCCGTGAGGCTGGCTTGGGTACCGTCTGCTGATGAAGATCATACGGTAGGCCTATCGACTGGATGGTCGGTGGATTAGCTGTGGAGTCCGTGCCATGGCAGTACGGTGACCTAACAGTCGACTGTGTGAACGGCTGGTCAGCCGGCTGAGTTATCCTGGAGTCTGTGCTGCGTCCATGGTCGATCGGTGCCGTGTGGCCTCGGCTGGTCATACGGCTGTTCTGGCTGGATAATTGTCTGGTCGGTACAGTCGGCTGGGGTAGGCTGTCCCCCATGCAGTCTCTTGACCTGGGGACTCTTTTTAGCCAGAGCTGCTAATTTCTCCATTTATTCGTTGATTTGAGAGAACTTTGTCTTCATCATATTACATAGAGAGCACAGGAGATGGACTAGAGGTAGAGGAGGGAGGCGCTAGGGAAGCGGCTGGGGCCCTAACAGAGTCAGTAGTCTTTCTTCTTAGCCGCTTCCCGTCTCTTAGAAAGCACCTAACACCAGCTCTACTTACGTCTGTGCGATCATCACTTCAGCTTGCAGCCTTATAATATGTACTTGCAGTGTCTTTGTCTGTGTAGAAAACTATTAAAATAATCTTACCTTAATGAGATTTACTACCAAGTCCTAGATTGTTACAACTATAATATAGGTGTTGACTCAAGCACACACAGGGAAGAAGTGAAGGTACCCGCCATTGCATACATCATAGCTTGATTGGTTGTGATGCTATTTGGGAACAACTAGTTGTGTAATTGACAGTGAAGAGGACGTCTGTTGAAAATCTGAAATTTTAGTTAGTGTGACTGAAGCCAAAATATAGGATTTATGGCAAAGATGTTATGGAGGTAGTAGTTTCGTATGAATTACTGTTATCACAGTTTCAATGCTGAGTGATAAATAAACAATGCACAGAAAAGGTGATCTTAGTGCTACAACTATCAGTCTGTTTAGAGTTCTGGAGCTACATCAGTCACAACCGAGGATCATGTTGTGCAAGTTGACCCTGGACTGAAGTGACTGCTGGTGTATGGAACATGTAACTGTATTATTTACAAATACCCACCATGCTTCTCTCTCTGGGTGTTTGTGATGGTCTGGCGATGGATTTCATCACTGCTCTGCTCCTTAGTCTCCAATCTCTTCACCTGAACCAAACAACTCACATCAGTCCTGTACAGAGAGGGGACCAACTGTCTAACTGTCTAACACATACTACACTACAAATACATACATTCTTAACCTGAACCAAACAACTCACATCAGTCCTGTACAGAGAGGGGACCAACTGTCTAACACATACATACACTACACTACACATACATTCTTCACCTGAACCAAACAACTCACATCAGTCCTGTACAGAGAGGGGACCAACTGTCTAACACATACTACACTACACATACATACATTCTTCACCGCAACCAAACAACTCACATCAGTCCTGTACAGAGAGGGGACCAACTGTCTAACTGTCTAACACATACTACACTACACATACATACATTCTTAACCTGAACCAAACAACTCACATCAGTCCTGTACAGAGAGGGGACCAACTGTCTAACACATACTACACTACAAATACATACATTCTTAACCTGAACCAAACAACTCACATCAGTCCCGTAAAGAGAGGGGACCAACTGTCTAACACATACTACACTACACATACATACATTCTTCACCTGAACCAAACAACTCACATCAGTCCTGTACAGAGAGGGGACCAACTGTCTAACACATACTACATTACAAATACATACATTCTTCACCTGAACCAAACAACTCACATCAGTCCTGTACAGAGAGGGGACCAACTGTGTAACACATACTACATTACAAATACATACATTCTTCACCTGAACCAAACAACTCACATCAATCCTGTACAGAGAGGGGACCAACTGTCTAACACATACTACACTACACATACATACATTCTTCACCGCAACCAAACAACTCACATCAGTCCTGTACAGAGAGGGGACCAACTGTCTAACACATACTACACTACACATACATACATTCTTCACCTGAACCAAACAACTCACATCAGTCCTGTACAGAGAGGGGACCAACTGTCTGACACATACTACACTACACTAAACACACATACATACATTCTTAACCTGAACCAAACAACTCACATCAGTCCTGTACAGAGAGGGGACCAACTGTCTAACACATACTACATTACAAATACATACATTCTTCACCTGAACCAAACAACTCACATCAGTCCTGTACAGAGAGGGGACCAACTGTGTAACACATACTACATTACAAATACATACATTCTTCACCTGAACCAAACAACTCACATCAATCCTGTACAGAGAGGGGACCAACTGTCTAACACATACTACACTACACATACATACATTCTTCACCTGAACCAAACAACTCACATCAGTCCTGTACAGAGAGGCGACCAACTGTCTAACACATACTACACTACACATACATACATTCTTAACCTGAACCAAACAACTCACATCAGTCCTGTACAGAGAGGGGACCAACTGTCTAATTGTCTAACACTTACTACACTACAAATACATACATTCTTAACCTGAACCAAACAACTCACATCAGTCCTGTACAGAGAGGGGACCAACTGTCTAACACATACATACACTACACTACACATACATTCTTAACCTGAACCAAACAACTCACATCAGTCCTGTACAGAGAGGGGACCAACTGTCCAACACATACTACATTACAAATACATACATTCTTCACCTGAACCAAACAACTCACATCAATCCTGTACAGAGAGGGGACCAACTATCTAACACATACTACACTACACATACATACATTCTTCACCTGAACCAAACAACTCACATCAATCCTGTACAGAGAGGGGACCAACTGTCTAACACATACTACACTACACATACATACATTCTTAACCTGAACCAAACAACTCACATCAGTCCTGTACAGAGAGGGGACCAACTGTGTAACACATACTACATTACAAATACATACATTCTTCACCTGAACCAAACAACTCACATCAGTCCTGTACAGAGAGGGGACCAACTGTCTAACACATACATACACTACACTACACATACATTCTTAACCTGAACCAAACAACTCACATCAGTCCTGTACAGAGAGGGGACCAACTGTCCAACACATACTACATTACAAATACATACATTCTTCACCTGAACCAAACAACTCACATCAGTCCTGTACAGAGAGGGGACCAACTGTCTAACACATACATACACTACACTACACATACATTCTTAACCTGAACCAAACAACTCACATCAGTCCTGTACAGAGAGGTGGCCAACTGTCTAACACATACTACACTACACATACATTCATTCTTAACCTGAACCAAACAACTCACATCAGTCCTGTACAGAGAGGGGACCAACTGTCTAACACATACTACACTACACTACACATACATTCTTAACCTGAACCAAACAACTCACATCAGTCCTGTACAGAGAGGGGACCAACTGTCCAACACATACTACATTACAAATACATACATTCTTCACCTGAACCAAACAACTCACATCAATCCTGTACAGAGAGGGGACCAACTGTCTAACACATACTACACTACACATACATACATTCTTCACCTGAACCAAACAACTCACATCAATCCTGTACAGAGAGGGGACCAACTGTCTAACACATACATACACTACACATACATACATTCTTAACCTGAACCAAACAACTCACATCAGTCCTGTACAGAGAGGGGACCAACTGTCCAACACATACTACATTACAAATACATACATTCTTCACCTGAACCAAACAACTCACATCAGTCCTGTACAGAGAGGGGACCAACTGTCTAACACATACATACACTACATTACACATACATTCTTAACCTGAACCAAACAACTCACATCAGTCCTGTACAGAGAGGGGACCAACTGTCCAACACATACTACACTACACTAGACATACATACATACATTCTTCACCTGAACCAAACAACTCACATCAGTCCTGTACAGAGAGGGGACCAACTGTCTAACACTTACTACACTACACATACATACATTCTTAACCTGAACCAAACAACTCACATCAGTCCTGTACAGAGAGGGGACCAACTCTCTAACACATACTACACTACACATACATACATTCTTAACCTGAACCAAACAACTCACATCAGTCCTGTACAGAGAGGGGACCAACTGTCTAACACATACTACACTACACTACACATACATTCTTAACCTGAACCAAACAACTCACATCAATCCTGTACAGAGAGGGGACCAACTGTCTAACACATACTACACTACACATACATACATTCTTCACCGCAACCAAACAACTCACATCAGTCCTGTACAGAGAGGGGACCAACTGTCTAACACATACTACACTACACATACATACATTCTTCACCTGAACCAAACAACTCACATCAGTCCTGTACAGAGAGGGGACCAACTGTCTGACACATACTACACTACACTAAACACACATACATACATTCTTAACCTGAACCAAACAACTCACATCAGTCCTGTACAGAGAGGGGACCAACTGCCTAACACATACTACATTACAAATACATACATTCTTCACCTGAACCAAACAACTCACATCAGTCCTGTACAGAGAGGGGACCAACTGTGTAACACATACTACATTACAAATACATACATTCTTCACCTGAACCAAACAACTCACATCAATCCTGTACAGAGAGGGGACCAACTGTCTAACACATACTACACTACACATACATACATTCTTCACCTGAACCAAACAACTCACATCAGTCCTGTACAGAGAGGCGACCAACTGTCTAACACATACTACACTACACATACATACATTCTTCACCTGAACCAAACAACTCACATCAGTCCTGTACAGAGAGGGGACCAACTGTCTAACACATACATACACTACACTACACATACATTCTTAACCTGAACCAAACAACTCACATCAGTCCTGTACAGAGAGGTGGCCAACTGTCTAACACATACTACACTACACATACATTCATTCTTAACCTGAACCAAACAACTCACATCAGTCCTGTACAGAGAGGGGACCAACTGTCTAACACATACTACACTACACTACACATACATTCTTAACCTGAACCAAACAACTCACATCAGTCCTGTACAGAGAGGGGACCAACTGTCCAACACATACTACATTACAAATACATACATTCTTCACCTGAACCAAACAACTCACATCAATCCTGTACAGAGAGGGGACCAACTGTCTAACACATACTACACTACACATACATACATTCTTCACCTGAACCAAACAACTCACATCAATCCTGTACAGAGAGGGGACCAACTGTCTAACACATACATACACTACACATACATACATTCTTAACCTGAACCAAACAACTCACATCAGTCCTGTACAGAGAGGCGACCAACTGTCTGACACATACTACATTACAAATACATACATTCTTCACCTGAACCAAACAACTCACATCAGTCCTGTACAGAGAGGGGACCAACTGTCTAACACATACATACACTACATTACACATACATTCTTAACCTGAACCAAACAACTCACATCAGTCCTGTACAGAGAGGGGACCAACTGTCCAACACATACTACACTACACTAGACATACATACATACATTCTTCACCTGAACCAAACAACTCACATCAGTCCTGTACAGAGAGGGGACCAACTGTCTAACACTTACTACACTACACATACATACATTCTTAACCTGAACCAAACAACTCACATCAGTCCTGTACAGAGAGGGGACCAACTCTCTAACACATACTACACTACACATACATACATTCTTAACCTGAACCAAACAACTCACATCAGTCCTGTACAGAGAGGGGACCAACTGTCTAATACATACTATACTACACTAGACATACATACATACATTCTTAACCTGAACCAAACAACTCACATCAGTCCTGTACAGAGAGGGGACCAACTCTCTAACGCATACTACACTACACATACATACATTCTTAACCTGAACCAAACAACTCACATCAGTCCTGTACAGAGAGGCGACCAACTGTCTAACACATACTACACTACACATACATTCATTCTTAACCTGAACCAAACAACTCACATCAGTCCTGTACAGAGAGGGG